GCTAGCGCTTAATTGACTGAGACTGTTCCTTACTGCAGACAATAGGATTACTCGTAGTCACGGCAATGGGACTTAGCCCTTGAGTGAGGAGGGGTTTGTTTCCTCAGCAGAGACGCGAAGTACCCATCATTCTCTTCCCGGGTTGCAGTTACCCTGCATCAGCTGCGCAGTCACTGCATCTCTTGCAGAAACAAGTGCTTCACTGCTTGAGAGAGGTGACCCGAGTTCAGAAGCGTGTCATCCAGCAGCCCTCACTCTGATGTTAGTTATTGACACCTTCAGGAAGATGAGTTTGAGGAGCAACTTCCTAAACTAGACAAATTTAATTTATTATTACAGGCTTTGTCTTTGGAGCTCAGAGCTGGAATCCAGACCAGCGCTTGCCTCTGGGCACCTTCTCCCTGCCTGCCCCCCCCGTTTAGTGAATGACATGCCAAGAACTGCAATACAGAGGAAACCCCATCCTGTTCCGCTTTTTCTCCTCCTCAGAACTGTGCTCACAAGCAGGTTGCCAGCCCTCGTTTCCCACCTGCCGCCAACGCTGTGGGGCAGGGCAGAGGCAAAGGTCCAGGCTGAGCTGTATCTCGGCCGCAGGGCTAAAGCGTCATCACCACCCTGGCTTTGGAGCTGGGATGGAAACAAAACACTCCAGCAGCGCTTCAGAAAAACAAGACAGTGCAGGCTGAACAGCTATTTAATCTTCAGATAGTGGCATTAGATACACAGTTACAACTCCCGTAACAGTCGCTACAAAAAAAAGCACATACAGTACCCAGAGTTAAATTTAAAAGCAACTAGTCATTTCGCATGAAACAAACCGATGAACTGAGGCTCTATGCTAGAACTAGCTTTTGCAAATAAAAGTGGTCAGAAACAATTAGTAAGGAGAATGATAGATAAAGGTCTGATTTTCTTCTTAAAAGTCATTAACATGGAAGCAGAGGAATACCCCAGGGTAAAGAAATCCTCCAACTACATAAAGCAAGAGTTAAAAATTAGAACTTTCTTAAAGTATGTTTTGGGGTCTGTGGGTAAAGAAAACTAAAAACTACATTAGGCTCCAAACTTACAAAAAGTCAATATTTAATTGTAGCTAAGTGTAGATTCTTAAAAGTCAGTGAAACATCTCCTGTTCCATGATTATCACAGTGATTAGAAAAAGATCACACATTTTATACTGTAGCAAAGTGCCAGGATGCTGCACTGTTTTCAGGAACATTTATGAAGTAGAATCATTTGCAGTAGGCTCATTTTTAAAATCAAAGCACATTGGAAGTCCTGTAACAAACCCCCCCCACCCCCCGCTTCATTGGTAATTTAGTACTTCCTCCTAGAGATTCTTTATACTCCAGTGAGTGGATAAAGTTTGTGAGACAACTTTTTGTGTGTAAAACTTCCTGAATTCATAAAACCAGAACATTCTGTTGGATCAAGCCTAACCCTTGATTTCTCATTTTCCACCTGCCTAGGGAACACTTCCACGGGGGGCGGGTAGGGGTGGGGTGTGAGTATGCAGAAATCCAGTGCTGTTCAGTTCACCTGATGTGACCCAAAAGTTAGAAGGCGATTTCACCCAACTGCCATGACCGTACCACGTGCCTGCTTTACCCTTTAAAGGGTCGTGCCTCCCTCAGCGTAGTAAAGAGACACTCACGCTGTGCGGGGAGCCTTCGCTAGAGTCGCTACACCCCGAAGAGATGATACAGAGCCGCTAAAGGCAGGAAAGCAACACGCTCCAGTCTTGCAAAGCAGACAGAGCGCATATTCCCTGCACTGTACCGATGGGCGGGCAGGCAGACCCCGCCCAGGTTTTAGTGCAGCATACAGCTATAGGCACGAACAGTAAAGTAGGCGAAAGGCTAAAGGGAAGGAACAGTGGCATGCTGTTCTTGTAGCAAGCCCTCCTCTCCCTTGAGACAAGGCCAGCTTTCACAGGAATGCAAAGTCGACAGTATGGAAATCCCTATAAATGCTGTGTACCTGTTAAGAATGTGTTTTAGTCGCTACAACTAAAGGAAGTATGAGATAAAATGAAGATATTTCTTGGACAGTTGGATTTTGATGAGAAGCCAAGATGCCTCTTCTGTTTGCCAATGAGTATTGTTTTCCCAGTTGTCCTTTCAGACCCAAACCCTCTCAGTCTAACTACAGTAGTACTGCATCCTGTTAGTCCGTCGTCTTTTCCGTGACTGAAATTCTTCAAAGAAGTGCTGAATGTCTTCTCTTTTAACCACCTAGGGGAAGCAATATGAAACGCAAGTTGTGGTACAAGAATTCAATTAAAGGATCCTTTTCTTTTTTTCCTTGTCTGCATCCCACATGTAATACACAAAGCATATAAAAGCAAGTGTCCTGAAATCTCTCTGATACAGCTAGCAAAACCACTTGCCTTGTACCCAAAGGAGACGACTGATGCCCAAATTCTATTATCAGCAACTACAAACAGAGAAACAAGCTCCTCAAAGGCAGAACAAGCACATGGAGCAAAGCTCCTGATAGTATTTTTAATGGGTTTGACCACTTGCTTTTATGATCAGAGAAATTAACACAAAGCAAGACTTTCAATAGCTCACTTCAGTCTCATTACAATGTAACTACGAATGGCAATTTTGCAAATAAGCCACCTGTGTTGATTATTAATAGCATGCAAATTCCTCCAGCAAAACAACTGACAAGACTGTTTGCCAATATTTAGTCAGTCCTTATTCTTCTAAGGGTTTAAATTCAACCTAAGAAAAAACATAAAGGTTAAGAGCTTTTTTCCCTGAATACTTTCCCTAGAGCAACAGAACTTACATTTAAATTTAAAGAACCTCTCTCAGTACTTTATAGACAGATTTCCCTACGGTTCCTGTTATCTCTCAACAATGTCATTAAGCAAATATAACTTTTAAATTTCAACGAAATCAGGTATTTCTAATTTCTATTGCATTACAGCAACTCCAAGAGACAGGAAAAAGAAATACTATAACAGAGCATTGCAGTATTCAGCACCCACTGTTCAACAGTACTTTAAAACACATTTTCTAGCAAACAAATTCTGTGAGTTGCGCCTTACCGTTCCCTCATCTGCAAATCTTCTGAGATAGTCAGTCAGTTCTGTCTTTAAATCATTGTATTCTGGACGGAGAAGCAAAGGCAGGGGAAAGAAAACAAAAACAAGCAGATGATACCCAGCTTTAGTTTAACACTGGCTCAAGAAGACAAACGGTTCTACTTCCTCTTGCCATTTGTTAGATTTACTTGAGACAAACCTAGGTTTGAACTGGATTATAAATCATAGTAATAAAAAGAAAGGCAAGTCCAGGTAAACACAAGCAGCCTAATTTATCAGACTAGCCTATGCAGTCTGTTTAGGTTGATCTTCAGAGAAATGTACAGAAGTTCAGTGACTGAATTGGTACAATTAATTAAAAGACTGCCCCTGCTCCCAACTTCCCACTGCAAGGGCAGGCGTGGGTTGTGGTGGGAAGTCCTAGCCTGTCACTGGGGACTGGGCAGCTGTCCTCCCCAGAGTGCCAACCCCTCACCCAGAAGAGGGAAACACGGCTCCAGTTACAAAATATCTCAGTGCTGCCTTGTGAATACACTCTGCGACAGAGCTGCCAGGGAGCACCCTGCACCCCAGCTGCACAGTGCGTGGCACTCCCCCAGATGACAGGAGATTGCCCAACAACAAACCAGGGTAAGATAAGTAAGCCAGACAGCAGAAGTGTAAAGTAATGTTTAAATATTCACATTACAAGAAGTTACTATCACTACAATATCTAAGACGTTAAATAGGGGAAGAGTTCCCACACCATCTAGATCCTCGATGTAAGTTAAAGTTGTAACCACGGCCAGAGAGGACAAACTTCTCTAGAGTAATCCTGACTGAGCTGTGCAGTCTGTCATACAATCTTCTACGTGTCACTTCAGAAATAGTTTGACACCACACTGCAAGACCTGATACTAATCTCTTACGGGAAACTGTTCAGTTAAAGTGTTAAGGCAGATTCTAAAAACAAAGTTGTATTTACCACAGATGAGTTCTACTTGCTGGACTCTGTTCATGCTGTTAAGAGTGTCCATTAAAGGATCTCTCCTCTCTGTTTCTTGGTCACTGGTACCTTTATTTTCGTAAGCCAAGACAGTGTCACATTCATCTGTCAGGAACTGGACTTCAAGCTCTGAATACATTTTCTGGAGAATAAAGTAAAATTTACTTTTACATTACAGAACTTCTCAGATGGAGATCCTCTCCTCCAATGCTTTTTGCGTTCAGTATCACAAATGATAACAATCAAAATGATAATGTAAATTTTGTATCCAGCATTTCAGGCATCTCCCCAAAATGACTTCCACAGCAATACTGGATTTAAGCAGCAAAGGAAATGCAAATGTTTAGAAGCTCCTTCATGCTGTATTAATTCTAAAGGATTCAGTGTGTTTCTTTATGTGGGATAGAGGGGTTTTTTAGGTGTTTATATGCAGAGTAAGAGGATTTACACACATTTTATCTACAAGCTTCTCTTCAAAGATTCTCTGGGAGCTCCCCCCTGCCTCCCCCACATCAGTGGTTGTGATGAAGAGAGAATACATACCAAACAGTCTTCACAGGTGCATAATTTGCTTCTCCAGTTCAATGGCCAAAAGGTGGCAGTATCTTTTTTTAAAAATTGCTTGCTTTGAAGTTCTCTCAGCTTGCAGACTGGCTCCTCGCTCTTAGTAACTACCTGAATTAAAATGAGACTGTTCAGTGCTCTGTCACTTCAAATACACTCTGTTCTTTCTAGCATGTCATCTTCCTTGTGCAAGATTTTTCTTTTGTCTCAGACACACTTATTTTTATGAACAACCTATATTACCATTTCAACCACATGAGTATTCTGATGTGGTTTTAGCAGTTTCCACTGGAAATTTCTGTAGAAATTTACTGCAATAGTCATAAATGTTTAAAAAGTCAGAGCTGGACTATCACGCAAATGCAGCTACAACGCATAATACCCCTGTATTAGAACAAACTCAGAAGTTACCTCAGTGTAAAGGCCAGGTGGCTGACAAGAAGGGATGGATCTAACCCATCTGCAAACAGATGTTACACCCTTGCCACCCACTTCTACAACCATGTGCCACAGCCTGCACTGTGCTTCACAGAGACCACACAATTGAAGTGTCAGTGAAGAGGAACATGGGAACAGACTGAAAGCATGTACCTCTTCACTGAGCCTATAGAGAAAGAGGTGGGCTCCTTCACCTATCATCAGTTTGAAGGTGTACAGGACAGAAGAGAAGGTACATTTTACCTCTGGACAGGCAGACCCAGAGCTAGTGGATGGTTCATTAAACTGTTCCGTTTGCTTTTCCTCCTTTGTTTCTTGGTGTTCCACACCACTTTCTTTTTTAATTTCTTTTTTCTGCTCTTCACTTTCCTCAACCTTCAGGACAATCCCTTCATCTTCAAGGGAGTTCACTTTAGTCAAAGCAGGAACTGGAAGATACATACCCGTGTAAGTGAAAATACTGTGCCAGGCAACATACAGGCTACCACAGACGTTCTCTCTGCTTTCCAGTACAGCGTCAAAGAGCACCTAGATCACCTCATACACTGCAGGGTCCTGGAGATACTCCACAGCTGTCCAAAGACACAGTGACCTAGGTATACAAAGAAACCACTCCCTCTTTCACCATAGTCTTCTTCACCTCTCATACTCCTATTTTAAAATACTCTGCTTCCCCAAACCTAAGCCCTAGGAGAGGGAAAAGGGTACCACAATTTGAGATAGTTCTGTATTGAGATGCTTGTCCTTCTTGACACCCCTTGATAGCTATTGCAGGTTAAGCAGCTGCCGTGTACTTTTTTGTTGACTGTGTCAGAGTCCTTCATTTTCTCCAGACACACCCCCCAAAAACTCCATGACAGATTAACTACACTAACGACTTCCTTATTTAAAACAAGTATTTATTTTGATGTCAATTCAAATGCATGCCCTGTCACATAGCTGGTTAGAAGGAGGAAAACCAAAAACAAACAAAAAACCCCATTCTGTAGTGTATTTACACTAGAAGGAACAGAACTCCAGGCAGGCCAGCCTGGAATTCTTAAAATGACCATTGAAATTTCTGGCACGTAAGAGATCAATCACCAGTTGATATAAGCAACACTTCGGAGGCTACATGAAACCAGCTCTTCCCACAGAAATGGAGTCGTCTACCCTTCTGATCCTGCAGAGACCACACAGCAGACAAAGCCCTAGTGTGACCACAGGGAACAGGTGTCCTAAGCACAGCCCCAGCTCTACTCAGATCAAGGTTTTAGACATTCATTTCAGGTCGCTCTACCATTCACTCTTTGCTGCTCAGAGCCTCTTAGACTCAGCTGTTTGCCTCACTGCTTCCCTTATAGGATGGCCCTTCAGTTCTTTGATCCAGTTTAGAAATTAAGTTTCTTGAGACAAGTATTAAATCTTCATTCATCTATGTGCTCGCACATCTTTGATAAAATAAAGAGCGAGCACCAAAGAATTAAGATTTAGGAAAAAGGACTACTCTTTTTTTTTTTTTTTTTTTTTAACAGAACAGTTACTGCAGCCTCACACATTCCACCGCTGAAGGCGATAGTCCAATATAATGAATATCGTTTCTCCAACCACTTAAACAGTACTATGTCATTAATCAACCAAGTATAAGAAATACGTGCTAACGAAATATTTGCTCAGATATCTTGATTTTTTTACCTGCTAATTGCGGTGCATAGGCCCACAGGAAATGGCAGTGATTCATGCAGGCTTGGCATACCATTTCATGGAAGTCTCCACTTTCAGGGGGAACTGCACCAAGATGCTGTCAAAAAGAAACAAGCATGCAAAAGTGAAACATTCGCTGCAAATTAACAGACTCAACTCTACGTTCAGAGGAAGTAAAACATCAAATGCCATCACATTTTCAGCACAATCATACACTCCTGCTAACTTTCTACAACGATTACCAGTATAACTTGAAGACCAGAAAGAGCTGATAAAAATTCCAGGGAAAAACTAAAATAATTCTCTTTGTTGACAGCCTTTTACACCTTCTACATAACCAGAAATCTCTGTCCTATCTTTATCTCATTTCTAAAAGTTATTCTTCTAAACTGTCCTAAACATAGGACAGGTGAAGATACCTATTGCACACTGCATGTTTAAACTCTTAAATAACTTACAATTACTCCTTACATGTGAGATATTGTAAGTCTTCATACTGAATCTGAGAAGAATTAGGCCCCAAAGCTCTCCATAAACTGGTGAGAACTATTCAGGCAATTAAAAGCATTTATCGGCTTTCCTTTGAAAGGTACTCCTGCAGAGCTGATAGTATGCAGTATAACATTCTTAATACATACATTTACACAGAAGAATTTTATAGTTTATCTATAGAACTCATAATTGAAGTCAACCATCTTTTTTTTAATTCTTTGATCCTGCAGCTTCAAACGTGGAATTTCACTTGTGCCCTTCAAGGCACAAGAGGCTGAATCCTTAATGCTTACACGTTAAGTAGGGCACTCACTGAAGTGCTGAGCTGCTTTCAAAAGATTTTCCCAAAGTTCATAATCAGGAACCAACTGCACAGTTTGTTCCTTGCTATTTAAAGGAATTACAGTCTAAAAAGCCTTCTTCTGAATGAAGAACTATTCAGGTAGCTGATAATGATGTGCGTCAGTAAGAATCTTTTTCTCACCGATTCTACTGATTAGAATTTTCCAATTAAAAAGATGGTTATAAAGTTATTATTTTATTCTGCAGCAGTAACCTTCAAAAAGGTAAAACTCTTCCTAGGTTTTTTGGACTGGAGTGTACCGCAGTGCAAGATTAAACTTTGAATATTCCTCTGCATAGGACGAAAAATACCTTAGAACTCATGTAATAATCTTTTGAGAACCTCAGCAAGCCTTCCCAAGTAACCATACAAACTTAACCGACACTGACTTATTTCTACGCAAATGGCAATTCTGCCACTTATAGTTCCCTTACCCTTCCATGGAACCAGTCTTCACAAACTATGCATTGGATCATCTCATCTGGAATCTAGATGAACGGTCATATTATTAGCATTAATAGCAACCTCCAGAATCTTTCACAAGCCTCAAATTGCAGTATTATGCAAAGCCTGCTCAAGTGAATTGCATTCCCCTCTTCACTCGCCCACAGGGAGTTGCCATTAATAAGTAGTTACTGCTTCATCACTCAGTTTGCTTCCCTGAAGTTCAATAGCATATGTAATTTGTTGTATTATCAAGACTGTGGAAATTCCCATTTATTATTACAAAACTAGTTTTCCCAGTAGATCAACATATTCTCACACAAAAGAGCTGATAAAAATTAATATGCTATTGGTATCTTTCTTCCTGTAAACAGAAATGCATGAAAAGGCAGCATAGCAAAAGAAAGATATTGATATTCACAATGTCATCAGGTTTATAGAGGAATGCCAGAATCCTAACTTAACTGTCCACAATGCAGTACAGTACAAACTGCTTCATTATGAAACAATTGCTAATGATTTCTTTAGAAATGTTTAGCTATCTCTGAACTTCAGAGAGGTGAGTTTATAAAATACTTTTTTGTATTTGAAAGACTTGTGCCTTCCTTATTCTTTAAAACACCTAACTTCTGTCACTGCAAACAAAAGTGTGTGTGCAAACCCAGCGGTGCATTTTAATACTTCAGACAGAGAAAAAGTGTTCTGACTGCCGTGAAGGAAAGCTAACGCCAGTGCTACAGGACAGACTCTCCCCACCCCAGAAGCCTTGTCAGAGCACTGTTACAGGCACAAGGAAGCAGATTCTCGTCCCTGCTAACATTTGCAACGTGTTTATTCTGTGTTTGCCACATTTCTCAAGATAATGAGAAACCCACCCCCTAAGGGAACTCGGTAACTTTAGAGAGGACTGCAGCAGCGTTTTGTCCAAATGATGGTTTGTCCTCCTTGTCTGTCTTTACAGTATAAACAAATTCTACCGTTTAAAAAAGACCTGATGAAGTAATTATTTTATACAGCACACGACAACCAAAAGCAATATGGAACATACGATTTCTTAAAGTGGGATCTTCCCTGTAAAGCATCTCAGCAACCGCTCCTTGGACAATGTTCTACATAAATACCATCTGCATATGATTACTACTGGTTTTTTTTTATTTCTTACCTCATCTTCAGGATCAGGGTAAGGTCTTTTACAAGTACAGTATAATCCGTAGAAATTGTCATTATACTTATTTCCTGAATTCACCTTGCCCTTTTCCTAGGAGGAAAGGAAAAAATGTCTCAAATAGACAATGCAGTGAAAAACAAAAGACAGAAAATATGTATAACCTAGAAAAACCCAATTCTTGTTCCACTTTAATTCCTAAAAGCAATCATTTTACTCAACAGCTTGAAGATCCAAAAAGAAAGATACTATCCAGACATCTATGCTATACAGTGAGCAGCAGATAGGGCATGTGAGGAATACTGAATTTCAAAAGGAAAGACAAAACCCAGTCTTTCTACCTTTGTAACAAATGGCAATCATGATGTTTGTTAAACTACGGCTAATCTAAAGTGATATAAGAGTTTTGATCATCAACCTGCCTGCTGCCATTATAGCAACGTCTGCAGATTTATTGTGCACCTTCCCCTCTATTTTTTTTAAACACCCAGATTGGGATCCAAACGCAACTTTGTTTAATCTTAACATTAAGCTTCCACTAAATTCATGTCACATAAGCCTCACTCTAGAGGAGAAGATTATCCAAATCGCAAAACATGCTGAATGAAATTCAATTACAGGTAATCCCATTTTAAAAAACAGCTAACACACTTGCAACCAGGTAGCTTCAGAGCTGCACGTAGTTGCAGCCTAAGGTCACTGCCAGTCCCTGCAGAAACAGCTGTGACTATTTATGATGTTATGACAAAACGCTTTCTACCACTATTCTGACAAAGGACGAATGGACGATGCGAGCACCTGGCATGAGATTAATGGAAAGTCAGCCAGGTTAATGGACAGATGCTGAAGGTCACTTAACCTGTACAATTGATTTTGCACTGAACTGACAGAGGAGGAACAACCACACGATCCATTTCATTGACTCAAATGAGAAACAGTAACATCTTAAAATTGTCACAGGTGCCTCTGTAGGGACCACTGGACTGCAGCCCTAGGCTGACTAGCTCTGAATCTGTCCCAGCTCTGCCAGAACAAAATGGACATACAAAAACCACTTGCTGTTTCTACATTTGGAGTGTTAGTACCCTGGGAGCAGCACTGCAGGCAAACTGAGCAGCTTCCTGTCGCTGTTTCCCAGATTACCAACTCCTTGACGAGTCCAAAATACCCACTGAGTATGAAAAGCACAGGCAGCTTAATACTGTAAAAAACTACCTTGTCAGTAGGCTCTGGTGACAACTTATCAAAAAAGTATAGGGCGCTAATGTCACCACAAAGAAGGGGAGGACACTGTCCCTTTGACAGCAGCACAACTATAAATTTCCTAATGCAACTGCAAAACTGCACCCCAAAAGGTTCTCCTGAAGCCAGTTTAAAGCTAATGAGATGTATTAGTGCAGGTACCACAATATGTTTCTGTCATTACACTGACCGTGGAGGCAGAACTGCTGTACTCATGGATGACAAGGATCAAACATCCTCCCTCCTCTCTCCTCACAACATTTCCCTTTGGTCCCTCAACAGTTTTATCTCCTGCTGTAATACTCCCACCTTGTTTAACTTGCTGGGAAAAACAGAGGCATCGCATGAGTCAGCACTGGCTGAGGTACGGCGCCAACCTCCAAAGACTCTTGCTTTGATTCTGTACATATGAAACCTATGTCTGAACTTACTGGGAGTAACTTGCACTGCAGATTTTTGAATTTGCTATTGCCACAGTCACAGCGGAAGTTCCTGGAAAGAAAAACATAGCATTTTAGGTTTTTTATTAACTGAAAACACATTAGGTTTTGTGTTCATAACAATTCCCAGCAGTTTATTAGGAGCATAAAAATATTCTTGCAGCTATTTAAACAATAGCAGCCGTCAGAACTGGCCAGAGGGCCTTGCAGCCTTACCCTCCCGCATGGTGTTCCTGGCAGGTCTCTGCTAACACCATCATTTGCAACAGCGCGTGGCTGGGAGACCACAAAGGCACAGCTAACCCCGGGTGCTGCAACTACCACATTCAAAAACGTGAGCATGTGTGTTGGCGAAAGAGGTGCGTGAATTGGTTCATTTCTGAAGGCTGGCTCCACGAAGGTGATGAAGCTCGTCTCCTACTCAGAGACCTACGCTCTCACTTAAATGGGGCGGGTATGCCAAGTGAACAGGGGAATATGGGTACCTCAGTGACCGGACCTCAGTTGCCTGCGCAGTTTTGCTGGGACTGGTGCATTCTGTACGAGTTACACAGGGGAACGTCTTCCTACCTCGCTGAAATGTACGGCAGAGCGGAGGAGGCTCTGGGGAAACTGACACCACGGCCCCCGCGGGGTCCCACACCCGGCTCCGGGAGGAGAAGACGGGCACGGACGGTCAGTGCACACGCCCTGCTTTCCCAGACCGCTGAAGGCGCCTGCGTTCCGCTCCGGGACGGCCGCGGG